CCTAGGGAAATTAAAACACTGAATCGAATCCTAACCGGTTACACTTATGACAATGAGTACCTTTATCGTATTAATGCTATAAATTATAACACTTGCAGATGTGGACAGTCTGATGATTATATTCACCAGACTTTCCACTGTCCCTTGCTTGCTGGCGCTCGAGAGGGCTTCGAAGTCATACTAAACAGCGCTGATTTTTCCGATATCTTTCGCGGCTTTGACTTCTGCAAAATCACTCTGCTTGCTGAGTTCCTAACTAAAGTTGAAGCCAAATTATAAAATTTTATTATAACATAAATCGTGAACTCACTCATTTTTCCCTGTCCTTCCCTCCATTATCCTTGCACTCAGTCATCACTGTTCTGTCTTAAATGACTATATCATCGCACAAGTCAACACAACCATCTCATCTAACACTCTTTCGGACAAACAAAAATGTCCAGCTAAGTCAACGATCAAGATGATTTACATGCCATTGTTCACTTCGGTCTAGTTTACACCGTCTAAAGAACCTTTTGGATCACTCAACAAGAAATTAGCTACGCGAACGCAACTATTATCACTCATCAAGTGCTACTGCACATTACGTTTTATCCTCAAGTTACACTCGTGTAACACGACATAATTATTAATTCAAAGGGATAACCTGGTGTTGGTATTTTGGACTAACAAAGATGTACAGCTAAGTCAAAGACAAGATGATTTACATGACATTGAGCACTTCGGTCTAGTTTACACCGTCTAAGTCTTGGTTCAGACGGAGAAACTTTTGTCGCGGCAACTCGTTACTTTTGGGAGAGGGTGCGACGAGGAAGGGGGAAGGGCACCGAGTTGCTCGTGCTCGGGCAACACGCTTTCTGCTCTCGTTCGTCTGATTAATTCTAGTTGGCCGTTAACAGCTGACAACAACAATTGTGTACAAAAGAGTTTCTCTGTGTGAACGCGAAAGGCAACACCAAAAGGGAAATTGCCGAAAATGAGCAACAAAAGTTTCTCTGTGTGAACCTAGTCTAAACAACCTTTTGGATCATTCAACAAGAGATTAGCTACGCGAACGCAACTATTATCACTCATCAAGTGCTACTGCATATTACGTTTTATCATCAAGTTACACTTTCGTGTAACACGTCACAATTATTAAAGCAGAGTTGGGTAACTTGCCATCGAACTCAAAACCCAAAAAAAAAAAAATGTCGAAACTTATATACATACTAGAATCCGACCGATTGTTGGGCTTCCACTTCGGTTTGCCGATTAATCGGCAATATTTTCATATTCGGCTGAATGCTCGGCTTCGACAAAAAAAAACTCCCGAACTTTTTCTAAAATCAGCTGTCAGCTGAGAGCTTCGGAATTTGAAACTGTGATTAATAATAGGTCCATTCAATATCAAAAAATTACGAATTATTACTAGTACTAGCAAGTTTTTACTGGAAATGCATTCAATAACCCAAAATATTTGCAAGAGAGAGCGGATTCGAGAGCGTAACAACCCGAGAGAGCTGCAAATTGTTGCAAGTAAAAATTTGACTAGCAGAAATTGGAAGGAGTCAAAAAGTAAGGTTATGTTTCATATTGAAATGTAAACAAACTGTTTAAGAGGATGATTTGATGAAACATAGTTAGTGAACTGAAAATATGGATGAAAAATTTAAATCTTTTGTATATTTTTTTGTTTTTAAGACGAAGGGAACTAATTCCAATTACAAAGAAAATTGCGCGCCTAAACTTAACCGTCAGAAAGTGTCAAAATGGCTTGAGTCGCAAGTTTTTACTAGTCTTGCGTTCAATAACTTTTTCTGCAAATTTTCTCTTGCTCTCAATTTTACTCTGTATTTTTCCTTTTCGCTCTCGCTGCAAGTACTTACTGGGAAAGTTATTGAATGGACCTAATAATGTGAATACTAGCTCCCTTGACCCACCGGATGGGTCTGGCTGTTTACAGAAAGTTTGCAAGTACTTATTAATAATAATAGATTGGCGTTTGCCCATTATGTTAATGCCCGCTTTTAAAACTTTAAAAGTTGGTCATGTTGGGAATCAGTCCAGGTCCTCCTATAAATATTATTAAATTTTGAGTCTGAGGCTCAAAAAGTTTTTTTGTACATTTTATATGGTCTGGCAGGGAAAAAGGTTCCCCGCAGTTGTGTCTTTAGCGAAGAGATATCTTCCCATTCCCGCCTGTTCACTTCTAATAAGAATATAGGAAATAAGCATTTTGAAAAGCTCGCGTAAGCTACTAAGTAACACAGAAGATAGAAACAAACTCAACCACTTTACAGAAAGCTTCTGAAAATGGCTGCACCTGATACACATGAGTATCTACTTGTAATATTCGGCTTTAGTCGAATTTTAATTATATACATACATACTTGTTATTCTCTTTCGCCTTCACCATTGTACTTCCAAATGTCAAAGATGTTATAAAAGCAGTGCCAAATAATAGTTCTACAATCGTAAAGTTACTGCTACTACCTTTAGATGCCGATATATAGATCCTTTAGATGCCGATATATAGATAGATTTCCTATGTACGCTCGTTTGCGATATATCTATTAACGTAAATGCGCTAAAATTTTACCCTCCCACATTTTTTCGGGAGCCCGGGTACCAGGGTAATTACTATACTGCCCGGGTACTCGGGTAATTACTATACTGCCCGGGTACCCGGTCTTCTCGGCATTCACAGAGAGTCGGCCTCAAGTTTTTTTTTATTTTTTTTTTATTTATTAAAGCTTATACAATATTATTAACACATGTACAACCTAATCATGCAGCGCTAGCATCAGAGGCTATCAGCTGTCCGCTGAATAAAAAATGTTGTTTTTAAATTCGTCTCAGTAGGTCACATTCTTTTAAAAATTGATATATGATTCTTATATTTTCCTCAGTTATATTCGAAAGAAGAGAAATCGGTTCTGTATTAAAATTGTTGGTTCTATTTCTTCCAAGGAGGTGAGCATGCGTCACTATCGTGTGCCCAATCCGAAGACGTATCTTACATACGTGTGAGTAAATTTGTAGGTATTGTTGATGGGTAATCTGGTTTGATCCTGGCTGTGTTCACTCTTGAATATTGATGATTATAAGTACTCTAGTCAAGGGCCAATTTGGAGTGTCTATTTTGGTTGATGAGTCGATATATATCAGATTTTGTAAAGAAACTGAATGTTATTGTGGGCATGTTAGATGCATCCATAGCTAATTTAACAGCGTAATTATTTCATGTTAAGCTAGTGTGTTTTGGGACCCACATTAATTTAATCTTCTTTGCATATAAAATAAGATATTCTCTAATAGATTTGATGACATTCGTGAGGTTATTGCAATTTTGTATAGCTTGAAAACATGATAAACTGTCAGTACATATAACATATTTCCCTGAATTTTTCGCGGCGTGTAGAACTGCGTGGAAAATAGCGGTGGCTTCAGCAATAAAAATTGAGCAAAATGGAAAAAGTAGTCCATAGGAAATTGGCTTTACTTTCTCGCTAACGACGGCAAAAGAGGTTTGGGTATTTTTCGATCCGTCCGTGAAAATAGATCTCCAATTATTATGCTTTAGTGAATACATTACTTCACGGAACTCCGAGATATAGATCGCATATGGTGTGGATATTTTCGGTAGGCAAACTAGTTTGTCGATGAATGAGTTTTTCGGGATCAACCAAGGTGGATGACAAAGTTTACGCAGTTTAGGAGGATTTAACGGAAGGTTATTCTTTTTGGCAAAAATGACAGATTTGTATAAAGCTGACTCAATTTTTGGAGGTCGAATACGAGATGATAATGAAAACAATGCATTTTGTAGTGATTCCTTGGAACTAAGGATGGTCCTAGGGTATAGTTTGCTGGTGCAATCTTCCATATTGTCTCTTAGAAAGGGAAGTCCAGATTCCGCTAATATATTTTTAATAGGTGACGTTGGGAATGCTCGGAGCGATCTCCTTACAGATGAATGGTACGGGGCAGCAAGCAATTTAAGATGGTTTTTAGAATGATGTCCATAGATTTCTAAGGCGTAATTGATGACGGAGAGTACGAGTGCTTTGACAACATTAATGAGCAGTGCTGGGCCAATGAACGACCGCTTACATGATAGGTACTTAACAATATTGGTATTTTTAATAATTCTATTTCTAATATACTGACAATGTTGTTTAAATACATACTTATTATCTAGAATTATTCCAAGAAACTTAAGTGTAGGAGAACATGAAATATTTACATTGTTAAATGAGATTTCTGGGAAATGACAATTATGTTTTCTACAAATGTGAAGCATTTTAGACTTGGAGTACGATATTGAGGCGCCTGACGAACGTGACCACAAGGATAATTGGGAAAGAATTTCCTTAAAAGTAGAGGATATAGAAGATAGATCAGAAGATTTTGAGAATAGGAGAAGGTCATCAGCATAAAGTATAATGGGGAAATTGGAAAGGGTAGAACTAATTTCATCGAATGCTATGGTGAACAAAATAACCGATAGNGAAAGAATTTCCTTAAAAGTAGAGGATATAGAAGATAGATCAGAAGATTTTGAGAATAGGAGAAGGTCATCAGCATAAAGTATAATGGGGAAATTGGAAAGGGTAGAACTAATTTCATCGAATGCTATGGTGAACAAAATAACCGATAGCGGTGAACCCTGAGGGGTGCCGTTATATAAGGGAAGAGTGGGGGAAGAAGTGCCTGAAATATGAACTGTGAATTTGCGTTTAGAAAGAAAAGATTTAACAAAATTAAATATACGGGTTCCTACTTTCCATTTTACTAACTGCCTTAAAACTACGTGTATGCCAACACGATCAAACGCCTTTTCGAAATCAAGCGAAAGAAGTGAGACATGATTTTTATTGGACAAGGCATTACATATGAAATGGTCAAGATTTAAAAGGGCGTCAATAGTACTTTGACCTTTTTGAATGCAACCTGATTACAATGAATAAGCTTATTGAATTGAAGAAACAAAGAGAGTCTAGTTGCAATATTTTTTACTAAAAGTTTTCCTAGGCAGGGTAAAAGGGAAATCGGACGATAGCTGGTAACTTCACAAGGAGGTTTGCCAGGTTTTAAAATGGGATTGATTGCACTGGTTTTCCAGACTTGAGGGATACCAGTTCGAAAAATGTTGTTGTAGTGGTTGATGAGGCGGGAAAGTAGAAGAGGAGGGAGATGTTTGATAATGGGATAATAAATTTTATCTAAGCCAGGAGTTTTATCTTTGATAACAGATAGAGCAAGTTGGAGTTCAAGTAAAGTTAGATCTGAGTCAAGGTGTTTGGCTGAAGGTGATAAGGAAGAAGGTAAGAAATTGTAGGAGAGTAAAGAGTGTTTGTTAGATGAGTATTCAGATGAGAAATTAGAGTCTGAAGAATTTTTAGAAAAATAATTAGCGAATTCTAAAGCTATATCCTATGGATAGAGTAGATTGCCTTGTCAGGAGTTGAGCGAGAGAATAGGAGAGAAAGATAGGTTGCCAGATAGTCTTTTTATGTTTGCCCAAATTAGTTTAGAATCTGAAGAGGAATTAATGCTGTTGGTAAATGACTGGAAGGCTTTAATTTTAGCTTGTTTGGCCTTTCTTCTAAAAATAGCATTCGCTTTTTTATAAGCTACAAGATTTGATGACGAGCGATTATGCTTGAATTGATGCCATGTTTGTTGCTTATACAGTCTAAGCGAAGATAATTCATTGTCCCACCAAGGAGGATTGGGATTGCGGGGTTTAGGAGAGGTTTGTGGTATAGATTGGTTGGCTGCGGATCTTATTATTTTTTGAATTCTCGAAGTTTCCTGATTAATATTAATTGAAGAAGGAACAGTATCGGAGTAACGTAAACAAAAATCTTGAAATTTGGACCAATCAGCCGAATCAGTTTTAAAAAATATTCTGGGTTTGAAAAAATTTGAATTATGAGAGGAGATTTTAGTTTTGATAGGAAAATGATAGCTACCATGCAGATCGTTTAAACAATAGGGGTATTCTCTGAGTCTTGCAAAGCCCTTGCATGGTGCACAGATTGCACGGATTGCACGGTTAAAACCGGTTTTCGTATGGGACAGCTTTGCAAACCGTGCAATCCGTGCACCGTGCAAGGGCTTTGCAAGACTCAGAGAATACCCCTAATGCCAATCAACTTTAGGGGAGAGGGAGGAGTAGCAAAGGGTAAGGTCAATGTGTGTGAAGGTGGAATGGGTGGAGAAGTGGGTAGGGGATCCGTCATTAAGGACAACACAGTCAGAGCTAAGTATAGCATCTTCAATTAGGCGGCCTTTGGAGTTAGTTGAGGCCGAACCCCAAAGAGGACACCAGGCATTGAAGTCACCAGCTAGTAAGAAGGGAGTAGAGCAAGAAGGGAGAAGGTTAAAAAAGTCTGCTGAGGTAAATGTTTGTTGTGGAGGAGAATAGGCACAGATTAATATGATTTTGATGGGGGAGGAGGTCTCTATGGAAATGGAAGAGATATTCGAAGAAGATATTGGAAGCATCTTATGTGGTATGTTTCTTCTAATCAGGATAGCAATACCTTGTTTGCTTGATGTGTTGGATGGAAGATTATAAAAATGGCCGATATAGGCTATTGGAGTATGAGCTGATATATTGTTTTTAATGTGTGTTTCGTTTAATAATATAACTGAGGGATTATGTGTTTTAATTAATATTTCAAGTTCATGATAATTATTAATATAACCATTAATATTCCATTGAATAACCGTCAACATATTGAAGTATTAAAANAATAATATAACTGAGGGATTATGTGTTTTAATTAATATTTCAAGTTCATGATAATTATTAATATAACCATTAATATTCCATTGAATAACAGTCAACATATCGAAGTATTAAAAGAAAAATAAAAGGTAGTTAAAGTACATTACATGTATGAATATGATTATATAATTTGAACAATAAATATTGGGAATTATATTTCCATGGGCAATTGGTTATGGGAAGGAGGGGTGGATGGTGCAGGAGTACAAGGGGAGGGGTCTTAATGGTAGGAGATGTGATTGTGGAGAAGGGTGAGAAGGGAGGGGAAAGATAATTATTTAGGGGGGATACTGACGGAGATGGGGTATCAGGGCAGTCTTTATGGATTGAATTGCTGTTGGTATTAGATGAGGTGTTATTATGATTTGATGTTGTAGCTTTATTGTTGAGATTTGACTAATTTGACTTTGACATTTTTTCTTTGTTTGTTGTTAGTTGTTGTTGTGGGTTTTCTGAGTAAGTGGCATTGTTGTTGGAAGCAGTAACATTGGCAAAAGAAAATGGTGTAGGAGTAGTTGGAATTTGTGACTTATAAGAATTTATGGCTTCGCGCATTGAGCATTTGCAAACAGTTTTAATTTTATTTGTTTTTTGTTATTTTGTTGGCCTTTTAACAATTATAACCAACAACATTTTTAATGAGCTCGAGGCCGTTTTTTAAAGAAAAGAAAGAAGTCTGATGAGGAAATCTGATTTCCGAAATAGCTATCACTTCTACCATTTTTTCAAATTATTGTTGCTTTTCCACAATAAATTTTCTTTAAAAAAACGGCCTCGGGCTCAATAAAAATTGTTGAATATAATTGTTAAAAGGCCAAAAAAATAACAAAAAACAAATAACTTAAGGACGAGCACACCTAAAAGTTAAACATTCTAAAAAAATAATTATTAGCAAAAACCAACAATACCAACAACCACATGATCAAGTGAATTGCAGTGGAATAGCTGCGCTTGATTGTGTTGGCATAACAAAAATGAAAATAGTGGGCAAAAGCAAACGATAATTTACAAGGCGTACTTAGCACGGTGCATAGGCAACTGGCTGAGTCAGTGGGATCGTCGGTTCGAATCCTACTGAAAGAAGACTGATGAGGAAATGTGGTGATTTCCGAAATAGCTATCACTTCTACCATTTTTTCAAATTATTGTTGCTTTTCCACAATAAGTTTTAATTTTAAGTATCTCTTTAGACTGGACAAATTTTGGACAGGAGTTTGACGAAGAAGGAATGTTCAACATCGCAATTTGCACATTTAATTCTAGAACATTCAGTTGGAGGGGAGTGGTTTGGGGGAAGATTGCAGATGACGCAAGATGGGGTATTGTTACAGCGCTTTGCGGTACGTCCTAACAGCTGACAATTCTTGTAGCGCATTGGATTAGGATAGTAGGGTCGGATATCCAGGGTTCGCCAGGCAACTTCAGTACGACTAGGCAAAGTGTACTTATCAAAAGTTAATAGTAAGGCGCCAGTAGGCACGCGAGAGCCGTTCATTAATTTTGTAAATTTATGTACGGCAGTGACACCTTCCTCATCATCAAGTTGGCAGATTAACGGAGCGTAAATCGTACCCTTCACGGTATTAAGAGTGCTATGAAGCGAAATTTCAACAGCACCAGCACCAGGAAGATTTTTTGTTGAAAGAAATTTGTCAGCAATTTTTTGGTTTTTGACCAGCAGTAGTAGGCTGCCATCTCGAAGAGATGTGATCTTGTTAACGTCTTTGCTAATGGATTGAATACCTTTATATACTGCGAAGCAAGAGGTGGATGCGATAGTTTTTTTGTCATCCTTTGATTTGATTGTGAGATACTTGGGATCATCCTTCTTTGCTATTGGTAATTCCTGGAATAAGTCGAGTGGTGAGCTTTCTGGCTTTTTTCTTTTGTTTTTCGGAGGTGGAGATAATAGGGCATACCTATTATCCCCCAATCTATCGGCCCCAGGGGGATTGCGATATACTATTACGTTTTTATCAAATTCGGTAGTAAATTTAACGTGGAACGTGGGTAATTTAAAAACGTGGAAAAATATAATGTTCAAAATACAAATTGAGGTTAAGAAGCGCGTACAGAAAGTAGCGAGTAGTTATTTCGCGAGTAAAATGCACACACAATAGAAATGCGACCGTACGGTTTGGCAGCTCGGTAGCGAATGCGGCCTCAAGTTACGTGAACTCCATCCCTGTGAATGCCGTTCTGGGCACACAACCACCTGAAATGGACGAGACAGAGGTTCGTCTGCCTCGGGAGACTCTGACAACAATAGCCCAACTTCGCTCTGACTACTGCAGCACGTTGAACTCGTACCTGAGCAGACTGGATGCAGATGTGCCCAATGAGTGCGTCTCTTCGCATGCCGACTAAACTTCACTCAACTTACGCCTCTGTTCCTATGGACGGACCCTATAGGGGCTGCAAGCTTCTTGGGTCTCCCGTTAGTTGACCTTGACGACAACGGTTGATAGACTTGCTGATCTGGGCGGGCAACGATTCTAGTAGAAAAGTTAGAGAATAGCACTACTGGTATAATTTCACCATGTGACTGTAGCATTTGACATTTTAAGCATGATAAAAATATAGTAAGGTAGAACCGCTGAGAGTCACTTTTAAGATTCTTGACGTTTCCAAACAATTTAATTTTTAAATTTACTCACAAACTCACACACACATTTTCATTTTCAATCTCAAGCAACAACAATTTCGAACAATTTCAATTTTTTATTTTCACTTTTATATGATTTTAAAATGTTGGCAAACTTCAAAAAAAAACATGGCCGACAAATTGAGAGAACGGTTATACCTTGCTATGTTTTTATCATGATTTTACCCACCAAACAATTTGTGTTGCCAGCAATAAGAAAATGTGTCGCCCTCGGAAACAAATTTATTGCCGGTAATATTTCCATCGAATCGATTTCCTATTACCGGTCACTTTAAAACGTCCGCCGAAGGCAACTCGCCTGGGCGAGTCGTTTTCTTATTACCTGAATAAGTCCTTTTCTTATCGCTTCAGGCGATATTTGGAATAATTTTATTCTTTTTAATACTTCATTTATTTTTTTGTATACCAAATTGCAACTTACAATCGGAATTAATTCATTTTCTCGCTGTGAGGCTTCATATTTTTTCAATCTTGTCCTTGGGCATAATTTAGATGCTTTTGGCCAATACTATTGACGCCATATTCATAAGTTTCGGAATTTTTGAGAACTTTTTTATTCAAAATTGACATGAATGAAGTGATGTTGCCGATTTGTCACCACAGCAATAAATCGGTGAGTCGCCAATTTGTTGCCATTGACGATTGTTGCCTATTTCTCATGTTTTGCATGGTGGGTAAGATTCATATTCAACAATATTTATTGAGCTCGAGGCCGTTTTTAATGAAAAACTCATTGTGGAAAAGCAACAATAATTTGAAAAAATGGTAGAAGTGATAGCTATTTCGGGAATCACCACATTTCCTCATCAGACTTCTTTCAGTAGGATTCGAACCGACGATCCCACTGACTCAGCCAGTTGCCCATGCATTGTGCTAAGTTAGCCTTGTAAATTATCGTTGCTTTTTTCCCACTTTTTCATTTGCTAAGCCAACACAATCAAGCGCAGCTATACCGCTACGATTTACACTTGATCATGTGGTTTTTGGCTTTCAGGGTATGGGTGTTCCCCACGTTGGGCGTTTGCCTATATATCACAACAGCTATCCCTGGGCCGCCTGAAAGAGTTAATGCCGATAATAAATCATTAAAATCGAAATACCATGTTTTATGTACTTACCCAGCCCTGATTTTATATATGTTCTCATGAAGAAACGTCAAACAAAGCAGAAGTGCCAAAAATGGAAATTATGAAGCTTTTGATGGGCAGATATTGCCAGACTAAAGGTGTAGTTTGGAGAGTTTGGGGAAAATCTCGAGGAGAGGGTAGCAATAGGGTGCGCGATACCACGATTTGCCGGATCGTGAACAATGAAGAAAGCGGAAAAAACGGTGTTTAGAAGACACGGGGCCTGACAAATAGCATATAAAAGGGGGTCGGCTGAGTTCCGTAAGAAAATAACTGCCGGTGTCATTACAACGTTCGTACAGTGCGCGCTAGTTGAGCCTTTGCCTTTTTTTGCAGCATTTTGTGCTGTAAAGTGCAAAAATTTTTTTTATTGAAACAAAAAAACATTTATAAAAAAAAACACAGTAAACGCGTCGTAAAAAGTCGCGAGGCGAAAACAAAAGAATTGTGAGGAGTGTAGGTGAAGAGCCCACAATCATCTTTAAGCGCCCGGCAGAACGTGACCATCAGAAGCCGAGATTACCCTCACCAAGGCA